TGCCATAAGAATAGACAAATTGGTGAAGGGAAGCAGAACCCAGTATAGCTGGAACCTTAATGTACTACAGACATGTTCACGTCAGTGAGAAAAGAATAGTTTGAGTGGTGTTAGCACAACTGATTAACCATCTACATGAAAATGCTGCATGTACAGAAATGAATTCAAAATGGATTAAAAGTGAAATATAAATTAAGCCTTAGGAGACTAAAGTTTAGATATTTACATATACATATTCAATACAGTAAAAGATATTGCTGAATGACTATGGAGGTTTACCAACCGGTCATCACATAAAGAAAAAACTCTTTCATGCCAGTTTTCTTCCCTTAGTTTTCCAGATATTACTGCAGTTACTCATTTGTGTTTCCATCTAATACACTTTCTATGCATTTAAATATATGTTCTTAAGTGTCACATTGTTCAAGTTGGTTCTTTTTATAATTATCATGTTGTAAATTTTTCAGATTGCTTTTTTCACCTAATAGTATGTGTTAGAGTTCTGTCCACATTAGTACACAGAGCTCCATCTCATTCTCTTAACTGTTATTTGGTTATAACCCAATTTAGCATATGGTGACCCATTTGCTCCTAGGCAGGTTATTTAACCATGTTCTCCTCAGTTTCTGTATTTGCCAAATGAAGATGACAGTAGTAATGACTTTCTCAAAGGGTTGATGTAATGACTAAATGTGTTAATATGTTTAAAAAATTTCAGAATAGTGCCTGGCATATAATAACTTTGTCATTGATATTTTGGTTGTTTCTAATTTTTCACACACACAAACCATCCTGTTTTGAATACCCTTTTACATATTTCTTTATGTACTTCAAGGAATAATATTAATAAATAATGAAAAATGAAAATGCCAGAGCTCTGGTGTGCTTCTTTGTTGGGGTTCAATCTTAACATAAAAAAATACTTTAATAGAAGTCTTTTGTTTCTATCAAGTTGTCATTTCTTCTCTGTTGAGTTTCTTAAAAATATAACAAGGTACCCTTTTTCTTAACCTTAAACTTTTCTTTGAACCCTTCTTATACTTCCAGCACTGTTATGGATTTATTTATATGTTTCTTTTGTCATTTTGGTGGGATTCAGGAAAGGCAGGGAATTTATGTGTTGTCAACCACCTGACATGGAATTATACCTAAATTAACTAGCATAGTTGATTATTTTTCTTTAGACATTGGAACTTAAAATAGTTCTATCACTCCGTTCTGTCTTGCTCCCCATTGCAAAACACAAAAATTGTATTTATTCTTATCTGTTAGATTTTAATGAAGTAATCTGGAATTTTAATTCCCAACTGTTCTTTTTACATTATGTATCTACTGTTTTAATTATTGTTTAGAAAATTCATTCAATTTTAACAACCATGTTAGCCAGAATTACTTATGTTTAACTCTAAGTAAGCATTCTTAGACATTTCTTACCATTCATTTTATACCACACTTCCTTTTCTTTTCTTTTTTTTTTTTTTTGAGAGGGCATCTCTCATATTTATTGATCAAATGGTTGTTAACAACAATAAAATTCTGTATAGGGGACTCAATGCATAGTCATTAATCAACCCCAAGCCTAATTCTCAACAGTCTCCAATCTTTTGAAGCATAACGAACAAGTTCTCACATGGTGAACAAGTTCTTACATAGTGAATAAGTTCTTACATGGTGAACAGTACAAGGGCATTCATCACAGAAACTTTTGGTTTTGATCACGCATTATGAACTATAAACAATCAGGTCAAATATGAATATTCGTTTGATTTTTATACTTGATTTATATGTGGATCCCACATTTCTCCCTTTATTATTATTATTATTATTATTTTTAATAAAATGCTGAAGTGGTAGGTAGATGGAAGATAAAGGTAGAAAACATAATTTAGTGCGGTAAGAAGGCAAATGTAGATGATCAGGTCTGTGCCTATAGACTAAGTATTAATTCAAGCTAGACCAGGGCAACAAAACATCCACGGATGCAGATTTCTCTCAAAACAGGGGGTGAGGTTCTAAGCGTCACCTCTGTTGATCCCCAATTTCCCACCTGATGGCCCCCCTGTGACTGTGCCTGCTTAGGTTGTTCCTCCCTTGAGGAATCTTACCCGTCTCTGGCTAACCAGCGATCTTGCAGGGCCATACAGGGAAATGTAAAGTTGGCAAGTGAGAGAGAAGCAATATTGTTTGAAAAGGTTAGCTTTTTACTTTTTTGCAGATTTATGCCCTGTGGCTTCTATGCCCAGCATTTGTCTTGAGGTATCTTTACCATTTGGAAGAATTATAATACTCGGTAATTTCAATATGAAGCATGAATTCAACTTAGGGGTATAATTATGAAGGAAGAAGAGAAGCTATAGAAGTAGCAGACGGAAGAAAACATGGGAAGATTGATTATTTCTTTGACATATCTTCTTGTAGTGTAACATAAGCATGTATAGGTTTTAGCAAACTACTAATTAAATTGCGTACACACATTAACATAGTAGGAATACAGCTACATAACAAAAGCAGACCTACAATTACCAGCCATATCCAGTGAAACCAAGAAAACCAGTTAGGTACCCTAAGCATTTGTGAAGACTTATCAATGATATGATGGATATTGTCTAACTGAATTTGAATAGTTTGAGAAAAATCAGACAAGTTAAAACAACAGATTCCTAGGAACTGTTCACATCCCATATGTTCTTTTAACACTAGATAGTCTGTAGTCGCATGATTTTGGAGCACTGCAACTTGCACTTCTCCTAATTCTTGGTTGAGTTCTAACAGTATAGATCCAGTCAGATTTGTTGTTTTACTGTATGCACAGGCCAGCTTAGATATCTCCTTCTTCATTCCAATGGCAAGTCCAGGAACTGGTGGGATGAATGCAGCTACAACTGCAACAACGCCAGGATCTTTGTTGAAGTTTTTTGATGATCATCTTCTGGAATGACTCTTCCAGAGGATGTTGATGTTGGAATTTCTTCTTCATATCGTATCTTAATTCTTTTTCTGGTTAGCCAAATTTGGCTTTCATCCTCTGTATAAACACAAACAAACCCTTTGCCCACACTTTGATATGACCTTTATACCATTGTGAAGAACCTATTGGAGATCACCACACAGGAACTGCTTTTTTTTGAAGAGAAAGGAATATTATCAGAAAAATGTACTTCCATAGCTGATCATCTGACACCATTTAAAAGATCAAAATTAAGGATATGTAAAGCATGCATTAATCGTTGATTTGCAGTTAGTTTTATCCTATCAGGGAGTAATCCCCCTTTTCTTTCTCTTTTTTTGGTTATCATTAATCTATAATTACATGAAGAATATTATGTTTACTAGGCTCTCCCCTATACCAAGTCCCCCCCACAAACCCCATTACAGTCACTGTCCATCAGCATAGCAAAATGTTGTAGAATCACTACTTGTCTTTTCTGTGTTGCATAGCCCTCCCCTTTCTCCCACCCCCCACATTATGCATGCTAATCATAATACCCCCTTTCTTCTTCCCCCCCTTATCCCTCCCTACCCACCCATCCTCCCCAGTCCCTTTCCCTTTGGTACCTGTTAGTCCATTCTTGGGTTCTGTAATTCTGCTGCTGTTTTGTTCCTTCAGTTTTTCCTTTGTTCTTATACTCCACAGATGAGTGAAATCATTTGGTATTTTTCTTTCTCCGCTTGGCTGATTTCACTGAGCATAATACCCTCTATCTCCATCCATGTTGTTGCAAATGGTAGGATTTGTTTTCTTCTTATGGCTGAATAATGTTCCATTGTGTATATGTACCACTTCTTCTTTATCCATTCATCTACTGATGGACACTTAGGTTGCTTCTAATTCTTGGCTATTGTAAATAGTGCTGCGATAAACATAGGGGTGCATCTGTCTTTTTCAAAATGGAGTGCTGCATTCTTAGGGTAAATTCCTAGGAGTGGAATTCCTGGGTCAAATGGTAAGTCTATTTTGAGCATTTTGAGGAACCTCCATACTGCTTTCCACAATGGTTGAACTAATTTACATACCCACCAGCAGTTTAGGAGGGTTCCCCTTTCTCCACAATCTCGCCAACATTTGTTATTTGCGTTTTGGATGGTAGCCATCCTTACTGGTGTGAGGTAATACCTCATTGTGGTTTTAATTTGCATTTCTCTGATAATTAGCAATGTGGAGCATCTTTTCATGTGTCTATTGGCCATCTGCATTTCTTTTTTGGAGAAATGTCTGTTCAGTTCTTCTGCCCATTTTTTAATTGGATTATTTGTTTTTTGTTTGTTGAGGTGGGTGAGCTCTTTATATATTTTGGATGTCCATACTTCCTTTTCTAATGACTTTATTTGGTCACATTTTTATGGAATTGTATGAGTAATGTTTTCAGGAAGGGTGTATGGTCTGCTATACTTCCTGTGTTCTTATTTTCATGGAAATATATGTATTTTTCCCTTATAAACTTGATTGATAGCTTTTCAGGGTTTAGAATTTTAGTCTCACAGCCCTCTTTCAGAATTCTGTGAACATTGCTTCTTTGACTTGTAGCACTACTGTAGCAGATTGGAGGTCCAGTGCCTGTTTGAAGGCCTTTCACTGATTGGTAACCTTATGTTTCTGTTGGAAAATGTATTGGCAATTCAAATTTTTAACCAGAATAAATGTCTAGGTGTCTAACTTTTTTATTATTCCTGTCTTAAGATAGTGAATTATATATTATATATATAATGAATTTATTACCACAGAAAGTTTAGTGAGCGAAAATATTGTTTTTTAAGGTATTGATTTATTATGCCAATGTGATATAATTATGAAATGTAACAACTGCTGTATTGCTCTATGAGAGGAGTCAAAGTAACTACCTAATAAAAGATATTGGTCCTTAGAAAAGAATTGACAGAGGAAAATAAATACATATACGTATATATAGACATACAATAAAAGAAAGCACTCATTTGCGTGCTGTCAGAAATATGCATGAGAATTTCTAGACTTGAATTTGGAACTTGTTCCTCCATTTTAGGACCGGAAATTAACAAAAGCTGAGCAGCAAAGGTTCAAGGAAGAAGCAGAGATGTTAAAGGGTCTCCAACACCCCAATATAGTTCGATTTTATGATTCCTGGGAGTCTACATTAAAAGGAAAGAAATGTATTGTTTTGGTGACTGAACTTATGACATCAGGAACCTTGAAGACGTAAGTTGACCCTGATAATGCCAATCGAGTCAAAACTTTTGGAAAAACTTTTCAGGACTCATAAACATTGTTTGCAAAATAATGCTACTTGATTAAAGAATATGAATTTAGTGACTGTGTTTCAGGGCAGGCTAAGAATTAGTATGTTAATGAAGTTGGTTAGAAAATACAATGTTGAGTAATTGATATTTTTGGGATATCATAGAATTTTAGAATTAGAAATCATGAAATAATCTAATGTCATTTTGTACAAGATACTGAAAGGTTGAGGGCATGGCCAGGTTCACATATCTAGTGAGTAATACTACGTAATTATAGTCAGTGTTTTGTTTCTGACAGTTATTTGATAGTATTATCACTTATTTGTAACTATTACATGTGGGATATGCCTTTTCTGTTTCCTAGAATCTTACACTAAAATTTTACATAGTTTAACCCTCTGTTGACTATATAAGCAGTTATTGGGATTAGAGGACTTTGTTTTGAAAATTGTGCTGCCGTTCCACAAAAGGCCAGTCCAATTGGAATAATTCTTATTTTTAATTAAAAATGCTGAACTTGGTAGGGTGTCTTCTCTAAGGATAAGGTCTTAGATTAAAATTTCTTTTTTTTTGCCCTAACAGACAATAGAAAACAACTCATTGATATAATACATATAATATCAGCTAGTTCACATGATTTACTGTAATAATACTCATACAATAAGCTAAGTAGGTTTGTTTATATGTGGTCTTTGGTATCTTTGTGTAGGTACTTAAAACGATTTAAAGTCATGAAACCAAAGGTCTTAAGGAGCTGGTGCAGGCAAATTTTAAAGGGGTTGCAGTTCTTGCACACCAGGACACCTCCTATTATTCACCGGGATCTGAAGTGTGACAATATTTTCATCACGGGACCCACTGGATCTGTGAAGATTGGTGATCTAGGACTAGCCACCTTAATGCGCACGTCATTTGCTAAGAGTGTCATTGGTAATTAATATTTTATTGTTTATTGGTTGGGTAAAGAGAGATTTGTTAATTGTATGTCTAAACAGGGATCAGCAAACAATGGCCAATCGCCATATCTGGCCCCACTGCCTATTTTTGTAAGTAAAGTTTTATTGGAACACAGTTACCCCCTACTTGTTCAGTTATTGTCTGTGGCTGTTTTTGTACAATGACAGAGTTGAATGGTTGTGACAGAAACCATATGGACTGCAAAGCCTGACGTATTTACTAACAGGCCCTTTACAGAGAAGTATGCTGATCTCTGGCCTAAAATGTGAATTTGCTTTGAAATATCTATTATACATATTGTCTTATTTCAGAGACATCCTAGCATATTTCTTTTGTGGGATAATTTAAGATTATTGAAAGGTTCTGAGGACTTAAGAAAGAGGATTTATTAATTTAATTCAGAAAAATACCAAAAAAGGATAGTAATAAAAACAGATACTAGTAATTATTACTGAAATTTGATCATTAAAAATTGTACTTTATCAGCATGGAAAGTTAAGGAAGCTCTTTAAGTTCTTTATATAAATATAGCAAGTATTCAGCAAAATTTATATTTATAAATTTGCCTTTAGGGAGCTGAGATTAGCTCAGGTAATTCTTAAACCAAAGTAAATGTGATCTTGGTGGATGTTGTTGTTTTTTAATAAAAATATGTTTGTGGTGTTATTTTGTAGGGACTCCTGAGTTTATGGCCCCGGAGATGTATGAAGAGCACTATGATGAATCTGTAGATGTCTATGCTTTTGGAATGTGTATGCTGGAAATGGCTACTTCAGAGTACCCTTATTCTGAATGCCAGAATGCAGCTCAAATATACCGTAAAGTAACTAGTGTAGGTAGAACTTTATTCCTTTTACCTCACTAATTACCATATTTCACATTGAAGTTGATAAAGTCAACTTAGTCAAATCTAATTTTAGTTTAGTTCTGGATAACAGTGTTAAATTTAACATAATTGTGACTAACAAACTTTAGATTTATGCTATATACCTATACTCCATTGAGGTGACATAAAATGCTCTGTATTAGTATCTTTGGGAAAATGTACAGCTATATCATCTATATCAATTTGTAAAGAATTTTTAGATATTAGATGGATCTTATTTTTCAAAGCTGAATAATAAAGATTGAGTAAATGGTTTTGAAGATTTCTTCTTGTTCTAAAAGCCTGATTATGAAAGGGCATTCAAAATATTGTTCCAACAGATACCATATTTGATTCTTTGAGTAGTTTTTTGTGTTAGAAATTGCAAAGAATGCAAAGATAGTAAGAAGTGTTTGCTACCCATAAAGAGCTACATTTTTAGTAGGGCTATAATATAAATCACAAATAACTATAAAAATAAGAGGATGAGAGTATAGTAAGGAATGTAAGGGAGGTAGATGCAGAGTGTTAGGATTGTCCAAAACAGGTCTATATCATATCCAGTTATGTGGCTCAAGATTGGGCATGAAAGAGATTGTTAGGGTGTTTTAGGTAACTAATATTAATAGGTTCTGTTTTTAAGTGCATACCGTTTACCCATGCTTTCATCTTCATAGCCCTACAAGTTGGTACTGTCTTGAGTTTACAGATGATAAGAATGATAATTAGAGGTTGTGACTTACCCAAGTTCACACAGCTATTAATAATGGTGAATTTTGACCCCAAGTCTGTCTGACTGTAGAAAGATTTGTTTAGAGAGACCATAAGAAATAAGGCCAATATCCAGAATGTGGAACATTCTATAGGACAAATGACCTAGTTTCTCCAACATATCAATTTCATGAAAGAAAAAAGGGGGAGGGACTATTTACAGAATACAAGAGACTTAAAATAGTGTTGAGCTGGTAAATGTTTAACACCTGAGTCTCCGAAAAAGAAAAAGTACTGATTTCTAGCATTTGCTGATTTCCTTGGTGTTAAGTACTCCCACCATGACTGATTTAAGTGACCTCACTGAATGCAGGGTTGGGAAAGAATGCACAGTGGCATTCATTATATAGTATTTTCACTGTACAAATATAATAGATGTGAACAACCTCAAGAACATAAATACTAGTAAAATGCAGTAAAATAATTAAGGAGTGGTATTTTCAGTTAATTGGCTTTTAATATAATTTATCTAAGTGTGAGTTTATATAATTTAATATTTTTAATAATCTGTGTTTAATGATCAGCTTGCAGAATTCCTGAAAGTGTAATAGTTGGGTCTTGTGAGCTGCTATTAGCTAGCTCCAATGCACCAATCATGTAATATAACATAAGAATCTTGTTTGGATCCAGATTTGGATATGGATCCTTATCCAACTGTAAGAAGACATCATTTAGACCTTCTGGAAAATTTGAGTATGGAATGGGCTTTAGATGATATTAGAGTTATAGTAATTATTTTAGGTGGGATGATGATGTGATATCTGTTAGAGATACAAACTGGAGACTTTATGGGTGAAATGGCAAAATGCCTAGCATTTGCTTTCTAGTATTCCAGGATAGAAAAGAGTGTATGGGTATATAGCTGAAACAAGGTCGACAAAACATGACTTGTTATTGAAGCTGTTGATGGTTACATGGGGCTTCTTATACTATTCTACTTTGGAGTGTGTTTGAACATTTCTATAACAGAAAGCTGAGAAGAGATAAGGTTAGAATGTCTTTTTAGTTTGGGTCCCTTTATGGTACATCCACAAATAAAAAAAGAGTTTGTATCTGATTATGTAAGTTGCAGTTCCCTAATATTAGTTACCTAAAACACCCTAAGAATCTCTTTCATGCCCAACCTTAGTTTCACCTAGGATCAGAGGAAGGCAGTAATTACCCAGGGCTGGAAAATGGGTAAGATATCAGTGGAGAGGTCAAAGACGGCTTTTTCTTTAAGTAGAATAACATAACTCAGTTTTTTGAATGGTGGCTTTCTTACTGTATATTAAAGTCACAAAAATGTCATATCACAATTTAGCTTTCTATCCATATTAAAGCTTCTTGTATTTGAGGTCCAAATTAACCCTTACTTTGACCAGGTTTATCTAATATATGATAGTGTGCATATATGGTGTATGATTCTGTATCCTGTGACGTAGTGTGACAGAACTAGAACTAGATTTTAGATTTCTTCATTCCATGACAATTATTCTAGTATACTTTTCTGCTTCTGGATTAATTTGGAATTTTCTATTAAATGACTGTAGTCAGCTTACTTGGATTATTTTTTTAAATCTAAAACTCATAAATTAAGGGCAATAGAATATAAAATAAGCAGAGTCAAGGAGCTAACACAGTTACAGAAATGTTTTGTGTTGTCTGGACCTAATTTATGATTGACTTCCTAGAACCTGATAATTAGCTTGAGGATCTTTCAATATTTTAGTATTGCATAAGGATAAAAATAATTCAGATTTCTAAAAAGTTTATATACATATATTTTTTTTCATACATACATACATACATACTGATTGCCCATTCTAGAAGACTTTGAAATAATATTGATTTGGAATGTTTGTGATATAAAAATCCTTACTTGGAATTTTCAAAAGCACTTTTTAATAACATTTATTTTTCTGATTCCAAAAGATACTTGTTTGTTATAGTTTGCTAATTGGGGTTATGTGTACACTTTGGGATCCTATTTTTTCCCTAATGAATGTTACAATATGAGAATTCTGTATGTTATTAAGAATTATTTGAGGATATTTTTTATTTCTGCATATTAGCGTATATATATCACATAATTTATGTAATGTTGCCTCTGTTGTTGATTTAGATTGTTTACAGTTTTTCACTGTTATTTGTAGACCTATGACAAAATCCTTATCAAGAAAGCTGTTAAACTTATGTTGTACATATATATTTATTTATCTCATTTAAAACTTGAGTATTGCTTAATGGTAAAGATCATTATTTTAATAAATGTCATGTTGACTTGGGCTTTCAATTGCTTAATTTGTGACTAGAAACCATTTTTCTTCTCCCAGGGCATAAAACCAGCCAGTTTCAATAAAGTCACTGATCCTGAAGTGAAAGAAATCATTGAAGGATGTATTTGTCAAAACAAATCTGAAAGGTGGGTGCAAATGTAGTGAAATGATGTATCTCATGGATATATTTTCCCCTTATCTTCTACTGGTTCATTTTTTGACCCTTGAATCATGCTGGGTATGACTTTTGAGTGGAAACCAAATAATACTGTCTAGAGTGAAGTGTATCAGTGCATCTTGTTTGCCAGTTTAGACTTTGATATCATGTACTGAATTTTCCTTGAACCAAAATTTGGATTGTGTTTGTCTGGTTTGTGTGTGTTGTGACAAGCTTTCATCACCTTCAGCATTGGTTTAACAGTCCGTGGATTGCCCCCCGACCAGGTTAACTTGTTTCTAACAGTTGATAGTAGAAAGCTTCTACTGTGTCACCTTCGGGTAAGTACTTAAGTGTTTTTTTTATGAAAGTTAAAAAAAATTTAACTGTCAACTCACCAGATGTATTTTATTTGAACATATATCCTTATGTCATGATAATGGTAAAGCTGATAGGGCTATTTTTCTTTAAGAAGTAGTATTCTAGATTTATTTGTATCATCATTTGTGTTTTTTCTTATGTACAATTCCCTTTAGTTTTAGCTTAGATTTCCTTTTGATTTGAGCTTTAGGCAGTTGCTGACTTAAATTGGTAGGTTAGTCTTTGATTTTTACCTCTGTATTGATTATGATTAATAAAGGCATAGGTCTTTTATAGAAATTATTTCTACAAGGATTTCATTGACTGTCCCCTGTTCTTATTATGTTAGTGTTGCATATCTGAGAATATAGAAAGCCCCCAAAGTAAAGCCTGTTTAATTTTAGCTTTATTATAGAACGTTCTTAGTGTTTGTACCAACTGGCTATATCTAGATTTTATATATTTTTTAATAATGGTAAAACATATAACCTAAGATTTTAATAATTTTAAGTGTTAACAGTTCAGTGGCATTAAGTACACTCACACTGTTGTATAACCATTACCACTATCTATTTCCAGAACTTTTTCAACTTCCCAAACACAAATTCTGTACCTGTTAAACAATTAACTCCCCATTCTCTCTTCTCTTCAACCCCTGGTCCTCTATTCCACTTTCTGTCTCTGTGAATTTGCTTATTCTAAGTACCTCATATAAGTGGAACCAAACAACATTTGTCCTTTTGTGTCTGGCTTACTTTAGTTAGCATAGTATTTCCAAGGTTGATCCATGTTGTACCATGTATCAGAATTTCCTTCCTCTTTAAGGCTGAATAATATTCCATTGTATACACACACACACACACATCACATCACATTTTGTTTATCCATTTGTCTGTTCATAGACACTTTGGTTATTTCTACCTTTTGGCTATTATGAATAATGCTGCATGAACATTGGTGAACACATATCTACTTGACTCCTTGCTTTCAGTTCTTTTTGATATATACCTAGGAGAGGAATTACTGGATCATACAGTAATACTGTATTTAATTTTTTGCAGAACCACCATGGTGGCTACACCATTTTGCATTCCCTCCAGCGATGTGTGAAGGGTCCAATTACTCAACATCCTCACTAACACTTGTTATTTTTTGTTTTTTGATAATAGCCATTCTAATGGGTGTGAAGTGATATCTAATTCTGGTCTTGACTTGAATTTCCCTAATGACTAATTATGTTAAGTATCTTTCTGTGTATTAATTGGTCGTTTGTATATCTTGTTTGGCAAAAAGTCTATTAAGTCCTTTGCCCTTTTAAAAATTGGATTGTTCATCTTTTTTTTTTTTTTTGAGAGGGCATCTCTCATATTTATTGATCAAATGGTTGTTAACAACAATAAAATTCTGTATAGGGGAGTCAATGCTCAATGCACAATCATTAATCCATCTCAAGCCTAATTCTCGTCAGTCTCCAATCTTCTGAAGCATAACGAACAAGTTCTTACATGGTGAACAAATTCTTACATAGTGAATAAGTTCTTACATGGTGAACAGTACAAGGGCAGTCATCACAGAAACTTTCGGTTTTGATCACGCATTATGAACTATAAACAATCAGGTCAAATATGAATATTCGTTTGATTTTTATACTTGATTTATATGTGGATCCCACATTTCTCCCTTTATTATTATTATCATTTTTATTTTTAATAAAATGCTGAAGTGGTAGGTAGATGCAAGATAAAGGTAGAAAACATAGTTTAGTGTTGTTAAGAGAGCAATTGTAGATGATCAGGTGTGTGCCTGTAGACTATGTGTTAATCCAAGCTAGACAAGGGCATTAAAACATCCACGGATGCAGAATTCTCTCAAAACAGGGGACGTGAGGTTCTAAGCCTTACCACTGTTGATCCCCAATTTCTCACCTGATGGCCCCCCTGCGACCTTTTCAAACAATATGGCTTCTCTCACACTTACCAACTTTACATCTCCCTGTATGGCCCCGGATGATGACTGGTTAGCCAGAGACGGGTAAGATTCCTCAAGGGAGGAACAACCTAAGACAGGATTGTTTATCTTTTTTCTGCTTTTGATTGTTGCTGTATTTGAGTTGTAGGAGTTTAGGCATGCTTCTTTTTAAGCAAAGCTAAAAATACTATATTGAAGTAGCCAGTTTAGTTTGGATTCTGATTGTTGTTAGCATACCAAAGAACAATAGAATGTTCAAAAGGATTCTTGGCATATTAGTTTATTCGAAAGAGTACAAGCTTCAACATCAGACTAAAATTCAAATCTGGGCTCACACTCAAGCCAGTGTGATCTTGAGCAAGTTACTTAGCTGTTCCTCAGAACAAGTATAATTTTAATGATTAAAAAAATAATGAATGCGCGTGAAAGTTCTGGCAGAGTAATAAGGATTTAATGAATGCTATCTTCTAATGCTATTGCTATAATTATTTCTTAGTAAAAATATCTAGGCAAAATTTTCATTGAATGTCAGAGGGCTTATCTTGGTTGTGCCTTCTTAAACACATTTCACCTCAGCCTTAAAACTAATTAGTCTCATCAAGCTTTTTCCTTTTATAACACTGTCTTACTTAAGTATTTGTCTCTTGATGACTGTAGGAGTTTGAAATATAGAAGGTTGAAAATCTTCAATTTACAGGATGTATCATACATTATCTATTTTAAATAGTAAACGAGAGGCTTTCTGCTTAGGCATAGAATACACCAGTCTTAGCTCTCCATGGCCTGTAATACAGATAAGATTAAATATCATATATCTGTTTTAGGAAATTAACTGCCTCAGCTTGTAAAAGAATCTTTTGAGCACTGTTCTTTTTTTCAGAGATGGTTAATCCCTAATATTGGGCTAGAGTTGTATTCATTGTATGTATACTTTAGTCAACAGCACTAGACTTAAATACTTGAAGAAAACTAAGACATTTAGTTCAGAGCTTTTCTGAACTAAATTAGCTTTACCTGTGGCATTCTCTAAAGAATGAAGTACCCTGACTAGAATATTGTTAATGGAGTCAGAGACTTCTATTTATAACATTTGTAAAGAGTTTGAATTTCTAATTAACTTTAGTTTATATATCTGGAGGAGTTTTTAGTTTCCTTTGCTCACAATGTTTTGTTTGAGTCTTTAGTAACTTAAACCAGTAATTTAGGGAAGCTACTTAGTCCACTTAACATGTACTACAGTACTTCACTCTCTGTAGGTATTTTTAGATATATTAAACTTCAGTACCTAGATGTTTCTGGTAGTAATCTTTAATTAAGGTTACTATGAATACATGTTAGTTGGAATTTATTTGCATTTGATAAAAAGTTATATGCAAGACTTGTTTTTTATAACAAAGCAGATTAATGGTTTAATTAATAGAAAATTTAAAATAAGATTGTTACTTTGATACAATTAATTTTTACTAATTAAGGGTTCTATATCTTGTTTAAGATTGTAAAAATTGATAACGAGATGTGTATTTTGCTTATTAGGTTGTCTATCAGGGACCTACTAAACCACGCATTTTTTGCTGAGGATACAGGACTGAGGGTGGAGTTAGCAGAGGAGGATGATTGCTCAAATTCATCCCTGGCTTTAAGACTCTGGGTTGAAGACCCTAAAAAACTGAAAGGCAAGAACAAAGACAATGAAGCTATTGAATTCAGTTTCAATTTAGAAACAGATACACCTGAGGAAGTAGCATATGAAATGGTAAGTGAACGTTCTGCTACCTCCCTACACAGCCCCTTATAGTATTGGGTTGATTCTTTCTCTTTCTTATTGCTTTCTTTCTTCCCATTTTCTTCTTTCCTTTATTTAAATTGTTGTTTTATTGTGAAATGTATCTCTATAGCAGAGTATACTAAACTTGCATGTATAGTATAAAGAATAATAGACACTACTTTTGTTAAGAAATAGAACACTGCTGGTACCTTTGAAGCCATCTGTGTGCTCCTCCCAGTTGAATTCTGCTCTCTCATCATGGGTAATATCTACCCTGACTTTTGTGTTAATCATTTCTTTGCTTTTCATTATAATTTACCTAAGTGATACATTGTTTTGTTTTGAAACCTGAGTGTCAAGCACATACCTAGCTGGATACTGAAGTTACTATTAGGTGAAGATGCCCAGGAAAGGATAAGCTGAAACAGAATCTCTCAGTCATACTGGCTTCATCTTTGCTAAGTGTTTATGAGAGCCACTTCTGAGGAAGTCTGCAGCGAGATCATGCAGAGTCCACGGAAATACACACCCGGCTTACCACAGTCAGGGCACTGGGACTCCTCTGTGTGGACCAGAAATTAGTTGTCTGGTAACAATACGGTTTGATGGGGAGTAGGCCCCTCTCTATTTCTACTCTCCCCATGACCACCATCCCACAAGAATAGATGAAGGCAGATAACTTCCGTGGGGTGGAATGTGTATGCACACCAGATCCGGGATGCTGCAGAGCTTGGAGGGAGGGCGGGCAGGAACTCCGGCAGCACGTGATCTAATTGGACAATAACAGGGATGATCTTGGAGATGATAGCCTTTAACTTGTTATCTTTCTAGTTGCACTGTTCCAATCTGGAATGATTGCCTTGGACATGTGGTATATGACTATCATCCTGATAGTCCTCTCTACTATTTTCCTAGATTTCTCTGCCTCTCTCCTGTTCTGGATTTTGTATTTCCCAAATTCATGTCTTTCTCTTTCTTGGCTTACCCTTTTGGTTTAGTGGCATGCTTCCTCTGCCAGCTTCTTAAGAAAGAGTATGTGGGAGGTAAGTTCTGTTAAGACTTGCATGTGTGAAAAAGTCTTTGTTCTGTCTTCATATTTAATTATTATTTAGCTAGCTAAGGCATTTTAAGTTGGCTTTAAAAAAAATTTAGAGTCATTGCTCCATTCTTTTCTAGCTTTTAGAATTGATATTAAAAAGTGCAGATTTGTACTGTTCTTTGGGTCTTTTACATGCTATCCACTGTTTCCAGTTTTGGAAACTTGTAGTAGCTTCTCTTTCAGTGTTGTAAAATTTCACACTAATGTTATTTTGATTTGGGTCCATTTTCATCCAGTGTGTTGGATAATTGGTGGACCCTTCCAGTGTGTCAACTCATATCATTTAGTTTCTGTGAAATTTCTTGGAGTGTTTTATTGATGATTTCTTCCCCGCTGTTTTCTCTTTCTGGAACTGCTGCTATTTGAATGTTGGACCTCTTGGGTTGTTTCTCCAATGTTGTTATCTTTTTCATTTTCCTTTTTTGTCTTTTTGTTCTCCTTTTTGGCATATATTATCAACTTTATCTTCTAACACTTCCATTGAGTTTTTCATTTCTGCTATAGTATTTAATTTCAAGAGTCTCCTTTTCATTTTTTGGTCTGTTCCTTTTTTAGGGTAAACATGTTATTGTTTGTTTTGTAGATGAAGTGTTACTGCACTTTTCTGTAACATTAGTAAAGAGAGTGTTTCTGACATTTTTTTTCTCCCTGCATAGTCTCTTTTCTCCAAGTTGCTATTTTTTCTTTGTTAGGTTTGTGCTCTGTCTTCTTGTTAGATAGAGGCTTTTCTCATATTTCTGGTAATTCTTGATCAGTTCCTCAGGATTAATAATGGGAGACTGTATTAGTTTGCTATTGCTGTGTAACAAATTACTACAAATCTAGTGGCTTAAAGCAGCATGTGTTTATTAGCTCTGTAGGTTGGAAGTCCAGGTGGGCTTCACTGGGTTCTTTGCTTAGGGTCTTACAGGCTGAAATCAAGGTGCTGGCAGCTTGGGCTCTTACCTAGAAGCTCTGGGGGAGAATCTGCTTTTGGGCTTCTCCTGCTTATTGGCAGAATTCAGTTCTATGCAGTTGTAAGACTTTGGTTCCTAATTCCTTGCTGGGGATCGCTTTCAGCTCCTAGAAGCTGCTCTTCAATCCTTTCGTGGGCCCCCACTCCCATCTTCAAAGTCAGTAATGGCATGTTGAATCCTAGTATCACCAGCTTATAAAAAGTTCACCCAGATAATCTCCCTATCTGAAGGTCAACTTGTACAGCACAATAATGGAAGTGATATCTCATCATATTCACAGGTTTGAAGGTTAGAATGGAACATCTTTGAGGGACCATAATTTTGACTACCACAGAGACAAACAAGCTGATTGGATGGTATGGCTGCTTGTGTTAGACTTGTTAATTTTGATCTCTACTGAGGATATCTGGATGGGCCATTAATTAGGGAATCTCTGGCATCAAAATTTGTAGGTCTTTTGTCTTATATTGGTCAGATTCCCCAAAGAAGCATCTTTCAATGTCCTTCCTGGAGGGTAAAGGTCTGCTTACTGGTATTTCAGTAGCCAAGCAGGGGTGAAGGCGGGAGGTTTCTGTATAGGGCATTCAGCATGCATATGGTCTTTTTATCTTCTCATTTTCCATGTGTTTGCCATACCCTCAACTGTGGCCAGTGTTCCACAGGCCAGGGATCCTCTCTTTTATCCTCTTGAAAGAACAAAACTCCAGACTCATTGGGTAGTGAAGCAATCACCCAAAGGTGTGGAATGGAGGCTGAGACATGGCGACCTAAATATCTTTGACTTAGACTTCCTTATTATAGTCATCTCTTTTGACTTTACCCAGTTCTGGAAATACATGGTACTGCTAGTTCCTGTGCCTTATGAGTATTCTTCCGTAAAAATGGGAATGATTCTCAACTTTCCCTGGTCTCCCTTTTTCAGGTATGCTAGGTCAGTTGTTACTTATGTATTTATTTTCCATATTCAAAAAGTATCCAAAATATTGCTGTTCTCTTTCTCTTATTCTCCTTGTCTTTGTGGTTTTATAACTTAAAAACCTATTTACTGTGGGGTTTTATGGGAGCCCTGGGTGGGAGTGAAATTAACTGTATGGACTCCATCTAACATTTTAATCATCTTTCACCTACCATGAAATTTTCCCATGTCTGCAGACCCCAATAATATGCTTAAGAAGCAGACTGTAGGACTGAGAATGATATGCCACAACCCCTTCTGAAGTCATCTTCTCTGCTACTCAGGCCTGTTCTTCTCAGACAAGCCCTCCCCTCCCCTCCCTTTCCCTCTCCTCCCCTCTTCTAATGCCTAGTAAGATGTAGTACTTTGCTGTGAGCCTACTTCCCTCTGCCTAGAGGGTTGATTTATAAACTTCATCTATACCTCCCTCAATAACCTGCAAGTTCCTTTTTTTTTTGTTTTGTTTTAATTCAGGTCAGAATTTACCTTCCTCTGTGACACTTTCTCTCTTTCCTCCAGAGGAGCATGTACACCTTTATTTTATTTTATTTCCTCCAGAGAGGCTTGTACAGCTTATTTCTACTGTATTTCATTTTATGTTAGGATTGTGTCCATCCCTCACCACCAGATCATGTGCTCATACAGAACAAATCGTGTGCTCATAGAGAACAAAGGACCAACTTAGTCACCTACATGTTTCTAGAGCCCAATACTGGGCATGTTTTAGGCACTTAATGTTGATGAATGAGGAAGTCTTTTTAATCTTTCACAAAACTTAATGGCAGTCATAAATTACCTGTAAAAAGACTGCATGGATTGATATATCATGTTGTTTGTTTTTGTTTAAAGCCAGAATTATTTCAACAATGCTTGGTAATAGTGCTTTTCTTATGCTGATTAAAGGCTCTGGCATTTATGTATGTCTTAAGATTAAGAAAGAACATAGAAATAAATGAACTGTTACTTATTTAATAGCATTTGGAATTTGGGGGCACAAAATAACTCTGCTTTTAGAAAAAGAAAGTTAAAATCTTAAATATTAAAGATGTAGTTTGCTTATTATGTTTTGTATGTAGGTCAAGTCAGGATTCTTCCATGAAAGTGATTCCAAAGCTGTTGCTAAGTCCATTAGAGATCGGGTGACTGTGATAAAGAAGACAAGGGAGAAGATACCAGCTGGCTGTCTGGAAGAACGCAAGGATTCCCAGTGCAAGTCTGCAGTGAATGTACTCCCTCAGCACCAGAATACAACTTTGCCCCCTGCTCCTGCTCAGCAAACTGGGGCTGAATGTGAAGAAACTGAAGTTGATCAGCATGTTCGACAACAGCTTCTACAAAGAAAACCACAGCATCACTGCTCATCTGTTACAGGTACACAGTTGTAATTTATAAAAGCAAACAAATGTGTAATTGTATTCCCTTATCTTTAAATAATAATTTTGTATTTTTAAAAGCATTCTGTTATCTATCATTTCATCCATCCATTTACAAAATCCCTGAAACAGACAAGCCAACCAGTTTCCTTATTTTACAATTAAGATCCCAGGGTAGTAGTTGAATAAGGATTATAATCTTTTTGCCATTTTAAGGGTCTAACGTAAATCTTTTAATAAATAAAATTTAGAACTAAAGATATAATTTATCCTTCAAGAAGGAATTTCTAGACTCTAAGACCCTTTATATTTTAGACTCAAAAACAAATTTTAACACAGTTCCCCAATTTTTCTGCTGCAAATTTTTGCCCTAGAAGGACACAGTATTTTTATAGTAATAACCAGTTGATCTATAAAGACATTATTATTTTCTAGCCAGGTTCTAGGAGAATAAGAATGAGAACATGATACTTAGATTTTACTGAAATCCTAGAATCCTAATGGCAAATATAGATTAGTTAGGGACATACATGAAATGGCCAGCAAATGGAGTTGATTTTTATGTGATTCTTTGTTTTCAGGTTTGCTTTATAAGAAACTTTTAGTTATACCATGGTGTTAGCATAGAGAGTCTACATGATGGTTTTTTATTAATTCTGCAGTGTATCATTTCCTATGCCATTTGGGCCTTGTGCTTAGACTTTTCCCTTCTATGTGTTGCTTATTTTCTTTGTGTAGGTGACAATTTGCCTGTGGCAGGAGCTGGATCTTTGGTACACTCAGATACTTCAAGTCATCCCACTGTAGCCTACTCCTCAGACCAGAAGATGGGCTCTCAAATGGTTTCTAACATCGTGCAGACTGAAACAAATGTTCCAGGGAAAAATTATCCCTCCCAGCAGCTAGTAGGACATTACCAGCAGATTTCAGGGGTGAGGTGAACTGTTATACTTTTAAATGTAAAATCAGTGTATGTCCTGTAAATGGGAGAGTTTATCGTTACTATTTTTTTTTCTTCCTTGATAGTTGCAGAAGCAGCCAAAGCTGACTCAGCCCCAAATTTTGCCTTTGGTTCAAGGTCAGTCTACTATTTTTCCTGTACATGTCCTTGAACCTCCAGCTGTCTCACAACCCCAGGTTTCCCCATTAACTGTTCAGAAGTTCTCACAGATAAAGGTAAGATATATTTTAGAGGATCTGTATTCAGTTAAACATGCTTATCACTGCCTAGATTTTCTGACAGGCAAAGGATCTCTTTCATAAATTCATTACAGTTTATAGAAAAATCACTGAAAGTGAAAAGCTGTTTATGCTTTCCTTCACCTAAGACATTCTTCTTGAGGATGTCCCTAATATTGTGTAAATAGAATCTTGAGACACTGCTTGTATAATTGGAAAAGAAACTGAGAACTCTGTATATAGATAAAAATATTTATACTTGGATCTCTTACTCTTGGTAGTAATGGCTTGTTCTTTGTATTGAACTTTTCCAGACTGGTTTGAATGCAGAGGGGTGTCTTTTGTTGTAGTTAATTAGAAATCGTATTTAATAGACTCATAATTTTTATCATTTTAATCAAAATTCTTGACTTTTTTTGGTTCATGTTTATTTCTATAGGAGAAAATATGTGTTTTTATCTTTTAGACTCTCAAAGGCAGCATTATTCATTTCTGACAATGAGTAAATGGTCTTTATGGGAGTTTGTACATAAAGACTACACTGGCTCACTAAGTTATGGACTCTGGGCACATGGTTAGGCCTCTCTTTGCCATCAACCTGTTTTCTTTCCTCAAATCCACAAATTACCTGCATGTGCCTTCTCTCTTTGGGAATAAGATGGTCTGAGCTCCTAGGTATTCTGTATATGATTTAGTTAGCAGCTGTCACAGTTCATCAACTAACATTTAATGACTGTTGTTTCTAGGGATATAAACTAAAATAGAATAGAATAGAATAAAAAAATATGGTCCTTGTCCTCAATGAGCTCACAGTCCTATAGCAGAAAGCATACACATACTTGACAAATGACAGATGCATTAAAAGTCTTCTGGAGTTAAATTTAACGATAAGTTGACAGTAGTTGGTATTTGACTAGTGTTTGTAGGTGCTATGGGATATATTTGTAATTGAGCTCATATTGTGGTTTGATTTGCCTCTTTCTAAGACTGTAATTCAAAGTATGCTGAATGGATGCTTAAATTAACTTAGCTTCAGCCATGGAAGTACACAGGTATATGTATTTCAAAGTGTATTTCTGCAATTAGAAAAACTTTAAAAATTATTATGAAAGTGTAATTTACCTACTTAAAAAGAAAGCCCATAAAGTTATAATGAAGACAGTGAAAATCACCTGTTATTCCTCCAGCTAGAGACAATTTATTGTTTGTATTTGGGGGTAGAGCCTTTAGATTTTTCTCTTTTTCTATATATACATATAGAATTTTATTACTATATACATAAATGTATCACATACCTACTTTTTTGTAGCCTGACCTTTTCACCTAATATATAAAAGCCATGTAAACAAGCACTTTAATCATGAGTATAGTGGTTCAAGTTCTAGGAATTATTGTAGCCAACCTATATTTATTCAGCCAGCTCTTTCCTCTCCTCTAGGGAGAGCCTCTATGTTCACTTAAGCTATGATATTGAAATCCTTTTGAGCTTTCTCTTGGAACTTCCACTGTCTGGTGTATGAAGGTGTCAGGTTCAGTTACTCTGAATCTCTGCCAGAGTTTGAATGAATTATGTGGCCAGTGCAATAAATGAGAAGCCACGAGCAGAAAATTATTGGGACTGGTCTCGGCCCCTCAGTGCATTCAACTAGCATTTACTCATGATATTAGGATTTTCACAGGACTATTGCTCTATCCAGCACCTTTTGGATAGCTTACTGAAAGTTTTAGAGCATAGCATTATTTTATCTATCATTCTGTGAGGGAGAGTTCCATAACATGGGCACGGCATATGCATTTGTAATTTCAATTTTCCTTGCACCAGCACCAGGAACTGCAGCTGACCTCTGGAGCAGGTAGACAAACTTCAGCCCAACCTATGTCTTCAGACTTGTCAATTAGTTCCACAACCAGTTTTTTCTGCATATTCTTAGACATCGCCTGCTTCACAAATGACTTCCAGCATCCAGTAGTTGGGTCTTCAACTTCAGCCTGGCCCTAGAAGTGGGAATCAGGCATTAACCAAATCAACAGATGCCAGTCAGACTTCTAGTTTCTTTCTAGTTAATCACCCTCAAGCTTTGTTGAATCATTCTTCTGCCCAATATGTGAGTAGTGCACAGAGTGCCGCTGGTACAGCTCAGCTCCCTTCGAATTCCATAGAGGGGCATTCAGGGCCCCTTTAACGTTCACAAAAGGTACATTCGGTATCTTAGCCATACCCAGTGGTACATCAGGAGGCTGTGACTCCAGGTCCTTCAGTGCCACAAAGCCACACTGTGCATTTGAAGAAGCCTTATTTCCAAGTCTCTATTCAGCAGCAGCCATTAATTTTGTAAGATTATGGCATTACTACAGAAAAATGTTCAGCAGGATTGTATTCTGTGAGAAACTGAAGCTTATGCAACTTGGCAGCAGCCAAAGGGTGGTATTGAAAGTATAATTCAGCCTCTGGAATGGCCATCTTACTCAGTTCAACACATTTATCCAGGACCACCTGCAGAACTGCCATCCTGCCTCTGGAAGGCTCCTGAGCAGCTGCCCTTTTTGATTATGTCCCTGGGAACAGGCTTCTTACCCATCACAGCCACCTTACCCAATCCTGGCTCTAACACAGCCTGCTTAGTCACTGCCAGCCCCAGAACATTCTCTTTACACTGTACAACCATTGAGATCACAGCCAACCTATTCTGTGCAGACTTCCTACCTAGTGCCACTTGTGGTATAGCCCTCTTATTCAACCCTAGCCCTAGGGGTGCCTGATTATTCAGCGCAGTCTCCAGTTCAGTCACTTTTTCCAGACCAGGCAGCATATATGATCCAAACAGATTATCCTGTGCAACCTATGAAACAGCCTGCTTACCAGGCACTGCCTCTTGAGCATGCCCCTTATTCAGGACAAAGTGCTTATACTATCCAGACAACTGAACTTTCATTACCCAGCAAGTTTACATAGTAAACCCTCCAGACAGCAAGCAAGTACATAATACAAACTCTGCAGATCAGAAGTTATACTCAATACCACCTAACATAGCACAGACTTCTGGGTAACAAGCCTATTTAACACAGCCCCAAAGCAGTAATGCTTCAGTGTTGGAACAGAAGACATTATTAACATCAACCTTGGATACACAGACACATTCGTTTGAGTCTTTATTTAATGTCCAGCAGTTAGCAGCTCCATCCCAAGCAGGTGTCAGTTTTGGATACCAGCAGCTAGCAGCTAGCCCAGTCAACTAGCGTTACTTACCAGAGGGCCAAGGAAGGGCCACTTCAATACCCTGTGCAGATGACCTTCATTCAGCAGGCCTCCTCACTGGCCCAGATCTAACTTCCACATTTCTCTGCAGTTTTCCGAACCATATCTAACACCAAGCCAGGTTTCTCACTCTTCTTTCATTCAGCAGTAGCAGATGACTCATTCATCTCATAAACAAGCGCAGAAAAGCCATCAGTTGTCTAAAGAAGGTCCAGTAAATCAATAGCAGTCTTTGTATAGCCAACAGGCTGCTTTCCAGCATCAGATACCTCATTCACAGGCACCTAACCAAGTTCAGCTATTACCAGGTATTCCAAAGGCCATTATAAACACGGTCCAGATTAGACCTCCTTTGCAAGAACAGCTGTGTCCAGCAGCACTGAAACAATATGCAATATAACTTTTAGAGCAGCCTCAAGTGCTTCAGGTATTAGATGCCAGTCAAACTTTTCCTCTGCAGAAAAGCCCTAGCACAGCACCAGCCAGCATGCATTCAGAAGCAGTCTGTTATCCAGCTACAGTGGCATCCATCTTCCAGCTTGACACTTGTTTCTGGGTCATCAGAAAGACAATTACAGCTGCAGACCCTCTGTCAAAGCTCTGGGATAGCCCTTCCCAATCAGCCATCTTCTGTTCATCTATCGATACATAGTATTCCAGTACAGGCTTCCACTACCTTTCAGAGCATTTCTGTGTTATAGACACAGCAGCATTTGCAAAGCCAAGAAAAATGCAAGCGTAAATTCTCTTGGGGGAAAAATGTGGATGATTGTAATTTTTCCATGATGTTCAAGGGTCAGGGAGATAGTAAGCTATAGTGGAAATGGCACTTTTTGAGAATCACAGTTCTGGTTCCTTGCTCTTTTCTTTACTTATTAGGTGGCCTTGACTCAAGCCTCTTTGGAGTTTTCTCAGCTGTAAAGTGAAGGGGTTAGACCAGATGATGGGCTAGATAAAAAAAATACTTGAGCACCTACTTGGGTATATCAGTGAATAAAAAGTGAAAGTCCTTTCTGTCATGGAGTTTTGTTGGCTAATGGAGGGGGAGACTATCAGAAACCTTAATAAAAAGTAAATTATGTAATACAGTACAAGGAGATTGGGGGAAATGTAGAGCAGGATAAGGAGGAAAGTGGGCTGCAATTTTAAATAAGGTGGCAATCAGGATAGGCCTCATTGAGGAGACATTTGAGCAGACACTTGAAGGAGGTGAGGGAGTCCTCAGTGTACATTCCAGGCAGAAGGAATAATCAGTGCAAAGACCCTGGGGGAGGAGTGTCTGGCATGTTTAAAGAACAGCAGTGAGGCCAATGCAGCTGTTAGGACTAAAATGTTAGGAGCTTATGATTATCTCATCATTCTGCATTTATAATAAAGCATTTGCCTTTATGCAGTGATAATAAAAAATGCTATTGAGTGATTTCTAGGTGCCAAATATTGTCCTAATGGCTTTATATACCCTGTCCTCGTAACAACCTTGTGAATAGTAGCTGTCATTACTCCCATTTTACAGGTGAGGAAACTGAAGTTCAGAGAGTCAAGTAACTTTTTCAGTGTCATACAGAAGTGTCAGGATTTGAATCCAGACTACTTGGTTGCAGAGACTGTGCCCTTAACCATTACACCATCCAGCCTCTTTGTAAGACAGATTTCATATGTACCAGAATTGGAGAAAAGGGCATGGTGACTTCAGTGATACTCAGTTAATTCAGGGGATTGATTGCATTAGTTAAAAGAAAGA